AAAAAAAATCTTTAATTTACATGAAATAAATTGTAAATTTGTCATTAAAAAATTTTTAATATTTATAATTCAAAAAAATATAAATTTAGATTGTAAAAAAAATTTTTTTTCCATTAAAAAATTTGTAAATTATGTATTGCAAAAATTAATAATATAAAATTATATATAGCCAATAATTTTACATAATTATTATTTTTACAACTAATTTTTTCTATTAAAAAAAGAAATTTTAATTTTTTCGTAAGATAAAATTTTCTAAAAAGGTCCTTATTAATTTTATCCTATCTATTTTTTTCTCCAAAATTTGAATTTAAAGTTCAAAAACAATATTTTAAAATATATCCATATAGTTTTCAAAAGTTTAAAATGCTGATTATGGCTAAAATATTGAAGATAAAAAAAGATATTACAAAGGATTTTTTTTATACAGAATTAAATTTTCTTCAAAAAAGGTTCTTATTAATTTTATTCTATCTTTTTTTTTTTTCCTCCAAAATTTGAATTTAAATTAATTTAATATTCTTTTGTTTTTATTGAAATTCCAAAAAATAATATCATCAAAAAAATTTTGTTTTTAACCCTGAAAAGATTAGATAAAAAATTTTTGACAGTCAAAACTTAAAAAAATAATAATAAATTAAAAAAAAAAAAAGAAATTCAAACAATTAACACAACCCAGTTATAAGTGTGAATTTATTTGTTGATACTGCTTATATCCTTTTTTCACATGCCAACAGTACCGATATCTGCATAGAGGTGAAAGATCGTATACTTTTAAAATGCCTGAGTATTATGTCACGACACCTACACGACTAGACACCCGATAATGCCACGGCTTCACTAAAGATTTATCGCTTAACTTTAATTTAATCCTCTATATGTATAAATAAAAAATAAAAATCTAAATATCTCGGGATGGCTCGGAGCCTGTGTATAACCTCTTTGACAAATACCGATCCAAGTAAAATGTGTAAACAACGAGACTAAAAGCGCCTAGACCACCCAAAAATTGAGTCGTCGGAGAAAGACCGGGTCTATAGTGTTAAAGTGCTCTACACCACATATTATATTCATTTAATTCTCAATGTCCTAATCGGTGTCAACTGCTGCACGTACCACGAATCGACCTACTCACCGAGACCCGTTATACTGTAGTATTATACACACACATTTAATACTTTACTTATATACTCTCTCAATATTATTCGGAGGATCATTCTAACTTTCAGAGCCGACAATCGACTCTCGATCTCCTTCTCAGCTTCTATTATATTCCCGAATTGAGACACTAGATGTATGAATTAATAATGTCAAATGATGACACCCATAAAACGAAATGGACAATAATTACAATTAGATACCAGTAGAATTTTTTTATCCGCGAGCGTAGTGGTGATAAATAATTCAAACGACCTTTATGTAAATATATTTATATCTAGCCGCGATCGCCGTGATATTTGTCAAATCTCAGGTCTTAAGTTATTTATTGCCGATAAAAATGGATTTTTATTACTGTTAGTGTTCCCCCGGATTTCGTCTCGTCCACTTTTACAATCATCATGTTAATGAAAACTTTTTAATACGCATTAACACCGGTAATTGCTGACATTTAACTTTATTTTCTATCAATGTAAGTAATCGAATCGTTTACTAGATTTTTTGGTAATTTATTTATCATCGTTACGACATTATTAATATATACATTATTTTTTTAATTTTTTAATTTTTAGATTCAAAAATAATTTCTTAAAAATTGTTTGATTTTAATACTTTATTTAATTTACATTATAAATTTAGAGTTTTAATTTTTGAAATTTTTTTAATAAAATAATAATAATGTTTCACCATTAATATAATAAATTTTTGTAAAATAAGTATCTTTACAACTAATTCCACAAATAAATCATATCCAATTCCTCCAAACCCATTAAACATTACGGTAACTCTTTTAAAACTCCATAACAACAAGACACAAAAAACCCCAGCTACATAACACAAGATAATTATTACAAGAGCATTAGCAGAAAAACGTAAGAATAATTGTAATTGCCCGGTATAGCGGAATAACTCGTGCAGCAAGAGCAACCTGTTACAGCCTCATTCCTCACTTCTCATTTGTTCCCTGTCGATTAAACAATTATCAGCGGGATCTAAAAACCGACTATCAACTATCAGTCAATCAGAGCTTCGAATGATAATAGAACAGATTGTGATTCTATTAGCCGTGCTTTCAAAATCGGCAACACGGTTTATTTCCTCTAGCGTCCGTCCGAGCGTGATGCTCGTCCTCCTGACCTGACCCGCGGATCTCCGATCTTTCAGCAGCAACAACTAGCAACTAGCACTGGAAAGTGCTATCTAAAAACAACTTCCTCTATCCGAGGTTTTAGATTTGAGATTCCGCCGAGATAGAGGCATCATTCTATCAGAGATAATATTATATGTTATATGTTAACTGCATCAACAGCTGGAAGTACATTAGTGTAGAGCTAGCAGACCAGCTGTCTACCAAACACCACTTATTTATAGTTGTAAGTTATAAGTTATAACGTTTTGTTACAAACTAACGGCTTCTGTCGAGGATCGAGAAATCCACACCCGCGTATGTATCGATTTATACATTCATACATTTATACATTCTAACATAAATGTATATAAATATAAATATATTGCATGGTTTACGGTATATCTACGTCGGCATACCTCAAAATCGTTTGTTATCGATTTTGCTGACACAGTTTCTTCTCTACGTGCAAATATTTCCTTATTTAGTTAATATTATTGCGCTAATGACTAATAAAAAGAAAAGAGTGATTTATTATTTAAATAAGTTCTTTTTTATTTAATAAAAACAAGTATTTATTAATTAATAGGTTTATTTGCCAAAAATAATAATAATACTTTACAAAAATTTTTTAAGGATACATTATTATAATTGTTAAATTTTGGAAATCTGATATTAATAATAATTTTAAAAAAGATAATTATCAAAATTTCAAACTAAAAATAGTTGATCTATATGATTTATGTAAACATCTGAATATCAGTACATCAGTTACATATTATTTAAATAAGCTTCTTACTTATCAAATTAAAATCTAATGTATCTTAAAAATGTTTCACAATAAATTTGAATAGTTGTAAAAAAATGGAGCTAGTTATAAACAATCTAACACACACTTTGACCTTTGTGTTAATCAGGTATTATTTTTATTAAACTATGAAACTCTTCGAAAACATTCATCAAAAATGTTACATGTGTTTTATAATCAACCAAAATTATATCAAGCTATTTATAACACTAATAAATATTTTTGAACCGTCAGAACTTCTATTGCTAAATTTTGGAAATCAATAATTTAAGCTTAGAGCGCTGGAAAATTTAATTAGTAGCTTATTTTTGAGCTTTTTGAACTTTCTGGAGTGATAAAAAAATTAAAAGTTTAAATTTTAAACCAAAAATTTAATTTTTGAGTTTATTATATTTATGCAGAAAAATTCTTTGAATAAAAAAATAGATAATTTTTTATTGATTCAAAATTTTTTCCTTAATTCAAAATTATTTTTTTTTTTTGGTTCAAAATTTTTACTTTTAAATGTCAATTTTTAATTAAAAACCTTAATTTTTTTACATTTAAATTCAATAAAAAAATGATTATTATTACATAATTATAAAAAAGAAACTACCCGCATTTTACTTCTTCAGCCTTGAATGCATCGATTTAAAAATCGACTTCTGTTTAAATTATAAATAAGTAATTAAAATTACTTCTTTAACAATCAATTCTATTCTAAATTCTTTTTAAAATAAAATAATTACTAATTTAGGCTAAAATTTGTCCAAAAGTATTAAATATTATAGAATAAATTGATAAAATAAAAAGAAACTTATAAAAAATGTAATAATACCTCCGCAAGTAGTTTAATTAGTTTAATTACATATCCCTTGTTGTGTATGGAAATGAGTATGTGGGCGTCTGGAATTATGACATACAACTCGTGCGGTAACCAATCACTGTAAACTTTTTTCATCCAAATAAATAAATAAAAAATAAATAACGAGGACGTTAATGTCAAATTTAAGTGACGGAAAGAGCCCGAAATTCCAACCGGATAAAAATTCTAGGATTTTAGAAATCAAAAAAGTGAATTTGAACTTATATTAAGCTGAGTCCATTACTCGGCTGAGAGTAGAGATAAGCCAATAATAATATAATAAAGACAGTTCCTTGTGATCCCCCTCCAGGTTTTTAGTGAGGCTCTCCCGTCAGACCGTCAGGAGAATACAGGTAAACCGTGCAGCAGGTTGCTGTTCTCCGAGGTGTTGTATTTTAAGCTGGCAGTGCCAGTTCAGTTCCCCTGAGAATCTCGAGCAAGAACGTTCTCTCTCAACTCGAGATTGTTGCTTTAATTATTATCCTTTCGGTTTCCCCGTTTATTTATTTCCGTCCGAGTTACATTCACTAATTTGAATACTGCACGTGCTTGTTCTCCTTTAAAGATAAATTACATTTAAATTGTAATTAATAATAAATATTATTTGTTTATTCTCGAGACAGTCTAAGTGAAAATTTATAAATTTCGACCAAAAAAATTAGTGTAATAAAAGTTTGGACAAGTGAAACTTCAGCCCCGGGCGGAACTTTCGTGCTGACAATTTGGGCTCTCACCTGTGCTGCATTCTGGAGCCTGGACATTTATTTTTTATTTTTTATAGCCTTTATCTCCTCTCGGAGAAACTCTACTTTATTTTGGAGGCTCTTGGAGGTTTTGACATGCACCCTAACAGGGCAAAGCCGCTGAAATTCTCCGTGGCTCGTTAATATTGATCCACGGAGCTGGTCTGGAGTCACACGCGTGACCGACACGCGCCAACATCCAGAGACAGCACGCGAGTCCTCGGGAGGAATTCTCAAAATAAGTCACCGTGACGTGCCCCGATTATATATAATTATTGTTATTTTTATTTTGATTTCAACGGGTAATTTTAAGCTGTCAAGATGGACACTGTGCTTGAGAAAATTGGAAAATTCAACCTGGTAATCTTTTGTTATTTTTTATTATTTATGATGGGTTATTTATCAAGTTATTTTTATTACAGTCGTTTGTTACGCGTTAGTATTTCATGACTTGCAGTATACTTATTAATTTCAAGGAATTTATTTTTTATTGTTATGATGATTATTTATATTTATATAAAAAATAATTTTAAATTCAATTTTTTTAATCTAATTTTATTATAGAATTTTTTTGGATTAAAAAAATAAATTTTTGGCATTATTTCAAAAATTACTTAATAGAAATTTTGAACCAAGAAAATAATTTTGAAAAAGATAATTTTGATTTAAGCAAATAAATTTTTGATTCAATCAAAATATCAAAAATATTTTTAGATAATTTAAAATTCAATTTTTTAAATATAAATTCATAAATTAAATTATCTAGAACTTTTTTGGTTTTGATATAAAAAATTTTTGGCATCATTTCAAAATTTACTTAATAGAAATTTTGAACCAAGAAAATAATTTTAAAGATACTTTTGATTTAAGCAAAAATGTTGAATCAATAAAAAAATTATCCAAACTAAAAACAATTTTTTTATTCAAAGAATTTTTCTGCATAAAAATAATAAACTCAAAAATTAAATTTTTGGTTTAAAATTTAAACTTTTAATTTTTTCATCACTCTAGAAAGTTCAAAAAGCTCAAAAATAAGCTACTAATTAAATTTCCAGCGCTTCAAGCTTAAATTATTGATTTCCAAAATTTAGCAATAGAAGTTCTGACGGTTCAAAAATATTTATTAGTGTTATAAATAGCTTGATATAATTTTGGTTGATTATGAAACACATGTAACATTTTTGATGAATGTTTCCGAAGAGTTTTGTAGTTTAATAAAAATAATACCTGATTAACACAAAGGTCAAAGTGTGTGTTAGACTGTTTATAACTAGCTCCATTTTTTTACAACTATTCAAACTTATTGTGAAACATTTTTAAGATACATTAGATTTTAATTTGATAAGTAAGAAGCTTATTTAAATAATATGTAACTGATGTACTGATATTCAGATGTTCACATAAATCATATAGATCAACAATTTTTAGTTTGAAATTTTGATAATTATCTTTTTTAAAATTATTATTAATATCAGATCTCCAAAATTTAACAATGATGATTATGTATCGTTAATAAATCTTTAAAAAAAAATTATAAGTACAATGTATACTGTTGTCTAATTAAAATTGAAATTAAAAATGATTTGAAGCAATAATTTATGCAATAACGGTAGGAAAAAAGTAATCGGAATATTCGCACAATTATCAATAATTGCCCTTGTGCAAATACAAAATAATTAATTGTAAAGTTTGTTAGCGTACCCATTGTACATTGTAGTAGAATAAAAATAAAAAAAGGCATGATTTATTGGGGTCTTGTGTACTCTCACCGAAGATATTCGAGGAGAGAAACTGTACAAGTTGATTTGCTCCTGTCGAATTGGTGTACGAATAAACGATCGATCGACGATCCTTCCTTCGTTTTCACTTGTGTCTGGTTCCGAGTTCCAGCACAACAACCCAAGACTCCCACTGATACACTGGCCGGTTTGGCTGTACGGCCTGACTTTTTAAAAATTCCTCTTCATCTTCCATTTACCCATTTTTTTTTTTTTTTTATTTTATTATGGGCGGTGCGGGCACGGTCTCATTAAAAGTTTGTTAGAAAATTTCTCTCGGGTCAGTTCCAAACAAATAGTTATTTACTATTTATTATCACCATCATCATTACTGTTATTATTGTTATTAACAGCGTGTTCATTGTAATTATACTGTAGCGCTGTTAATAAATTCAGCAGAGTCAGAGTCAAAAATCTCATTAGCGATAGACGATAGGCGATAGACGTCACTGATGAGAGCAATTGCTTAAGTGAGCGTACAAATAACAGTAGAGAGTTGAGGATTTGGATTTGTATCATGTATATCGTAGGAAGATGATAAGAGATTGAAATTTTTATTTTTATTTATCAAGATTTGTTAAACGCAAGCTTATCTATATTTTTAAGAGAATAAGCACAATTTTTAGATACATAATTAAGAAATTACCTTGTATCTTGTGAACTATTGAGATTTTTAAAGATATAAGCTCATCCCGATGTTACACTCATCAAGACCTTTCATTTGAGTACCCACATCAATTTTTCATATATTTCATATATTTATATATATTATATATATATATGTATATATGAAAAATATATCAAAAATGCATGTGGGTACTCAAATGAAAGCTCTTGATAAATATAACATCGAGATGAGCTTACATCTTTAAAATATATATATATTATATATATGTATATATGAAAAATATATCAAAAATGCATGTGGGTATTCAAATGAAAGCTCTTGATGAGTGTAACATCAGAATGAGCTTATATCTTTAAAAAAGTCAATAGTTAAAAAAATACAGTGCAATTTAACAAAAGTCAATAAAACAAAATTTTATTTGATACTTAATATGTTAATTTTTTTTTGTGAGAACCGGAAGGAATTTGCTATTGCTGAGATTTAAGAATGACTTGACATTCTTTGAAAATTTTTAAGGGATTTGTCATAAGTTATACGAAAATATTTAGTAGAAAAATAAATTATGTTGACTCAGGTCATTTTCTTGTAAATTTTGACTAAATGATCATTGAAAATTATTTTTATTATTATTGATTTTCAATTTTATTGAAAATAATGACTATGACTAATAAGAAAATATTAATAAATTTCCATAAAAAAAATATTAGAGAAAAAAACATTTTCCTCGGATGTTTCATATTTATAATTTAAAAATGATGCAATTTAAAATAAAAAAAAAAAAAAAAAGATGTTAAAAGCGGTGATTATTATGCGGTAGTTTATAAATTATTATCAGACCTGACTTCACATTCTTCCATAAGTTGATTACCATAATACGTGTTTATCATATCGCGTTTGCGTTTATAAACGTACATCATAATGTGAGTATGTAGTGTGTAACATGTAACCCATCTGACAATATTTTCCTTGTTAATATTAACATTTACGATAAACCATCTTGACCTTGGATGACATTTATACCTACACTATATATATTTCAATAAATAAAATAATTAATAGTAATTGTTAATCATTACTTTTTTAGCCAATAATCTTGAAGAAGGTCAAGTTTAGAAAATCAAGGAGATGTAGATTAAAAATAGTTTGTTGTTTGTTGCAGTAATATAATAAAAAAAAAATATATGTCGTCTATGAATAAGAACTCGTGCCGGTGCATGAATATAACTACTGACTATAAACGAAGTTATTTAATTGTTATTTCTCAATGAAAGTTTAGGAGTCATTGTGTTCGCGGTAATTAATTTAAATTGCAGATAACGCGGGACAGTAAATATTAAATTAAAATACCCGTGGTGAAATAGCACTTTAACTTGGACACATATTACAATTATTGACTTTCACATACTGACCGAATGACATCTTATACTTAAGTTTAACACCGGAATATTTTTTTTAACAAACAATTTTAATTATCTTTATTTCTTACGCCCGAGCATAATGTATCCTTTTAGATCTTGTTTTTTTAGTTAATAAAAAATGTTATTTGATACACACGATCCATGACGTAAAATTAGTAACTTAATATTGTCATTGGATATTTTCAAGGGAAATAGGGACTAAGTAACCATTACTAAGTTCTTAAAAAAAAAATTGTTTTACTACAATAATTATTTTAAAATAATTAAATAAACTAGCTACCTTGTACGATGTGACTACTGTGAGTTGTAAAATATAAATAGATAAAATTTTACGGTATTAAATAATGAGTTTTGTTAAATTGCACTGTATTTTCTTAAATAATGACGTTTTTAATGATATAAGCTCATCCCGATGTTACACTCATCAATAGCTTTCATTTGAGTACCCACATGCATTTTTCATATATTTTTCATATATACATATATATAATATATATAAATATATGAAAAATCGATGTGGGTACTCAAATAAAAGGTCTTGATGAGTGTAACATCGGGATGAGCTTATATCTTTAAAAATGTCAATAACTGACAAGATATAAGGTCATTTCTTAATTATCTATAAAAAAAATAATTTTATTAAATAATATATTGAAAAAAAAAAAATATTTAAAATTGATCCGCTTAAAAGTAGATATTTATGCATATCGATATAACCGAGGGCATAATAGTCCCGATAACAACTTGTATGTCAAGATAAAAACTACCTATCGGAATTCAAAAACCCGGGAAACAAAAGTTGAGTTAGTCTTCACTTTTTAGTGTTAAGTTTCAGTCTTGGTACGCCGCTATCGGAAGTCGCTCGACGACCACAATGTACACTATAAATAACATATAAAAACACTTAATACTGAAAAGCATTAAATGACCAGCAGTACCAGTTTTAGCAATGAGAAATAATTGCTGTTAATTTTAATTGCTGATAAGTGATAATTGTTATTGATTAGACGAACCGGAATGGGAGTTTATCTGACACAATAGAGCTCCGCATCCGGAAGGATCAGCTGGTGACTGGGATAGAAATAAACTTTCAAAGAAACTAATTAACATTAGTTTCTATTTAAATGATAAATATTAATAATTTATTGTATTATAATTATTAATATCATTGTGTTGCTTCAGAGGATTCCAAGCTGTTCCTTGAAGAGTCCCCAGCCTTTGAAGGAGTTTGTGGTGCACTGCCAAACGATGCCGTCGAGAGTAAAGAAATCATTCTGCGGTTGCTTGCAGGTAAGCGACTCCTCATAATTATTATTATAATTATTATTATTGTAATGATGATAATGATAATGATGAGCCCGATGCGAAGCTACGAAGCTAGAAACCGAGAGTTTATTATATCGTGCGTGGTGAGTTTCATTTCCATCATTGTATCTCTCAGGAGTCAATGAGCTCCGTCGTTATTCATTATCATTATGAATACGGTTAGATGCATACTAACTACCGACCACCAACAAAATTCGCTCTCACTCATCAAGTGAAAGTTTTTAATAATCCAGTGTCAATTTAATCCTCTTCCCAGTTTTATCTTAAGCGATACATTTTCGTAATAAAGTCTTTGAAATCCACTTTGCTTCCAGCGATGCGGAACCTAAAGTAAAGTGTGTCCTTGTTTGCTGAGTTAATGTAAATATATCGACCTTGTGGTTGCCGGAAGAAAGTGATCGGCTTGTTTTACTTGCAAGTGGGAGCAGAAGCTAATTAAAAATGTAGAATGAATTCGATCTGAATTGAGCAATTTTAAAGCTAATTTGATGGAGAAATTGCGTGAACAAATTTCGCTTCCAATCATGTGGGATCCATGATTTCAAAGTGTCCTTGTTACTCAAGAGGCTTTGATATTTTATGGTTAGAAGGAAATGAAAGTTATTTGATTATTTCATTAACGAGAAATAGAAAGATACAATTTTTAGATCAATTGGTTTATGATTTGTAGAGCTTTGTTGCTAGGAAGCTAGGAAATAGTTTTTAGGGGCGTTACTAAGCCATAGTTGCTAAGAAACGGTTGTTAGGGGCGTTACTAACCAATAGTTGCTAGAAAATCGTTGTTAGGGGTGTTACTGAGTACTAGTTGCTTAGCAACAAGTTTTAGGGGCGTTACCTAGCAATAGTTGCCAGAAAACAGTTGTTAGGGGGCGTTACTAACCAATAGTTGCTAGGATACAGTTATTAGGGGCGTTACTAAGCCATAGTTGCTAAGAAATAGTTGTTAGGAGCGTTACTAAGTAATAGTTGCTAAGCAACGGTTGTTAGGGGCGTTACTAAATAATAGTTGCTAGGAAACGGTTGTTAGGGGCGTTACTAAGCTATAGTTGCTACGAAAAGGTTGTTAGGGGGCGTGACTAAGCCATGGTTGCTAGGAAATAGTTATTAGGGGCGGTAATAAATAATAGTTGCTAGGCAACGGTTGTTAGGAGCATTACTAATAATTTTTGGGACCTTTTTAAGGATGAAAATTAATATTTTTGATACCAAATATAATTCTACATTTAATTTTACATCAATATAAATTTTCAATAAATTAAATTATCCAAATAAAGCATATTATGTTTGCAAATTAAAAAAAATAATTGAATTATTAAATCGTCCAATACTTTCTCACTTAGATCATTTGTATATTTAGCTCTGATTTCGAGCAGGTGCAACAGGTTTTAGAATTGATACTAAAAAACTAGATTTCCAGAGTCCAAAGAAAAATCGTATATCCTGTCGTCCTTGAGAGTTTATTTAAAAAAAAATAAAAACTAACTCTCTCTTTCTGCAGCCCGTTTTGACATTTATTTGCCTTTTAAATCACATTTATTTCCCTGAAAACACATATCCCGAGTCCATTTCGCCGTTTAAACTCGACTTTTGGGCAGTTAAAATAATTCAGAAACTTAATAACGGAAAATACCGAGCACTAAAATCCTCCAAAATATCTCAAACCGGTAACTTATATATTGTAGCAATATTTAACCGGGCTGTTATTAATTTTATTGGCTAAAAAGTTCGTTTGAGTTCAAGAGTAAGAGAATGTTTCGCAAACTGCGCTCGGTGCAGGATAGAAAGGTGAAGAATTCCCTTAGAAAGTAATGCGTGATTGCCCGCATCAGACCTTTATAACCGATTTGCTCATTAATATTTATATTTGCTCAATAACAATGTCTATGTCTATGTCTAAATGTTTTCCACGAGTCAGAGGGCAATAAGTAGTCTTTAAAAGTTCAAATTAACACGTTATTGCGTCATTTTCTCAATCTTCATCTCTAAAACTCTATAAGGAGCCAAAAAAAATTTTTTTGTTACATTACTTACCTTCTCAAACTAAACTCTCTACCATCGAGAAGATTTAGCGACCATGCGCCACCTGTCGGAAATTTCCAGAACTAAAATAAAAAAATTTTTAATTCAATTCAATGCTCAGCAAAATAAACACCTGGAATGTAATCTCAATAATTAATTATTCACGTGTGAAAGTACTTGAAGAATTCTCCGATGAGATCTCCAGAGTTAAGCAGAGTCCTTTTACCTTTGTTGACTGGGTGAGAGCGTCTGACAAACAACTCGCTCCTTTCTTTAAAACAAACATAGGTTTCTTTTTGCAAACATTGTAACACATACTGTTTGCTTATCATTATCATAATCACAATCACTTGTCACACCTCGGTTCTTCTTTTCTCCCTTCCAAAGCACGAATCATCTCAATAACTTAATCATTTTATTGTTTCAGGATGATGAACCGCCAGAAATTACATACTGCGTGGTGGAACAGACGGGGACGCTCACGCTACAGGCAATGACACCGACGCTTCCCATGCCAGCGGAAGAGGAGTTGAACAAGATGTTTCTGGAGCTGGTAGACGAGCTCGATCTCACGCAAGCTAATCGTCAGGCCGTGTTGGCCCTTCCTGCGAACAAAAAGTGGCAAATCTACTGCTCCAGGAAGGGCAACGACACCTTGGACAACGGAGGGCTCAGGACCACTGACCTGAGTGGTGACCCCGAGGATTACATCAACAGAATCCGGGTGATAGCCAGCGTAAGAATCATTTCTTTCATCAATCCTTACTATTGCAGACTGCCTCAATAATTCCTAATCCATTTCAGACCACCTTCTCTGAGGACGCGGAAGAATTATCCAACCAAATGCGGCAAGCAGAAGCTCTGAAGACTGCCCTGAGGACCCAGCCGCACAGTTTCGTCCTGAGGTTCATCGAGCTTGATGGGTTGAATGCTCTTTTGCAAGTCTTGGGGACGATAGACGTCGAGGCGGCCAACAGCAACCTTCATACCAGCGTGATAGGATGTCTCAAGGCGTTGATGAATAATTCTGTAAGTAAATTTAATCAACATTCATCACAGTGATGATTATTATGATAACTAATTCCAGAACGGCAGAGCTCATGTTCTGGCGCATCCGACAGCAATCAACACAATCTCTCAGTCGCTGGCGACTGAGAACATCAAGGCCAAGATATCCGTCCTGGAGATCCTGGGAGCTGTGTGTCTGGTTCCAGGTGGGCACCGCAAAGTCCTAGAAGCCATGCTGCACTTCCAGCAGTTCCATTCAGAACGCACAAGATTCCAAAGCATAATAAACGACCTGGACCGGAACTTTGGGGTCTACAAGGACAATCTCTCTTTAAAGACAGCGATCATGTCCTTCATCAACGCGGTTTTGAACTACGGGCCTGGCCAAGTCACCATGGAGTTCCGGCTGCACTTGAGATACGAGCTGCTGATGCTCGGAATTCAGCCGATCATCGAAAAACTCCGCAAGTACGAGAACGAAACCTTGGACAGGCATTTGGACTTTTTTGAAATGGTCCGGAATGAAGATGAGAAAGAACTGGCCAGGAAGTTTGAGAAAGAACACGTTGATACCAAGAGCGCGACGGCTATGTTTGATCTTCTGAGGCGGAAGTTGAGCCACACTGCAGCCTACACGCATTTATTAAGTTTGCTGGAGCACTGCTTGCTTTTGCCGCTAGATTATGGCTCCTATCCTCAGCATTGGCTGCTTTTTGACCGGATTGTCCAGCAGATTGTCCTCCAGTCTGAAGGCAGCGAAGCTGGCAAGGCACGGAACCCAGACGTGGCTCCAATTGACATCAATGTCAAGGAAATTGTCCACCTTCTGGCCAAGGAGGAGGAATTGGTTGCTGCTAGGAAGAGGGCAGAAGAACTAGAGCGTGATAATTGTGAAATGTCTTCTAGGCTGGCGAAGAAAGAGCAGGAGCTTGATCTGAGGACTCAGGAGAAAGAAGACATGGAGGCGAGTCTTGCGAGGATCAAGGAACGCCTTGAAAAGGAGACTTCCATGCACATTGAGACCAAGCAGAAGATCTCCGAGCTCCAGGACAATGTTGAGACTCTGTCAAGGCAGGTTAATAATGAAAAGTCAGAGAGGAAGAGGCTTGAGCAGTTGGTCGCTTCTGGGAGTCTTCCTGATGACGCTAAAGCGACTATCAAGATTGTCGATGATGATGTTGAGGAGAAAGTTGAATCTAAGCCTACTCCGCCGCCTCCACCTCCGCCTCCGTTAGCTCCACCACCTCCGCCGTGCTTGATGCCCATCGCTCCTCCGCCGATGAAGATGGAGATCATCAAAAATGTTCCCCAGCCTAGCAATCCTTTGAAATCATTCAATTGGTCAAAGATTCCGGAACAGAAGCTTCAAGGAACGATTTGGTCTGAATTGGATGACTCCAAGTTGTACAATGTGATGGATCTGGAGTCTATTGATAAGATTTTCTGCGCTTATCAGAAAAATGGAATCCCTGCTGAAGGATCTATTGAGGATTTGAGGAATTTGGGGAAGAACAAGAAGACCATGTCGGTGATTGACTCCAGACGGGCGCAAAATTGCACTATTTTGCTGTCTAAATTAAAAATGTCTGACAATGAAATCACGAGGACCATTTTGTCGATGGACCAGCAGAATATTCTTCACATTGACATGGTAGAGCAGTTGCTGAAGTATATTCCCTCGTCGGAAGAAGCAGCTCTGTTGGATATGAACCAAAAGGACTTGCAGAGCAGAGCTGATTGTTTTCTGTATCAAATTTCAAAGTAAGTGTGACTTAGATAAATCTTTGAATAATTTAATTATAAACTTTCTCCTCAATAATGCATCTGAGCTGTTGTAGGTAATGAATTACGTATAAGCGGTTATTTACAATGTTGTCTTGTAATATTGATTCCAGAGTGCCGCATTACGAGCAGCGCCTGAGGTCTCTGCACTACAAGAAAAAGTTTTCAGCGAGCATTGCGGAATTGACGCCGAGGATGCGTGCCGTCCTCGAGGCGAGTCGACAGGTTGCCAGATCTCGACGACTCAGGAAGTTGCTCGAACTGGTTCTTGCGCTGGGGAATTACGTCAATCGTGGAAACGCTCGCGGCAACGCCTGCGGCTTTCGGTTGGCCTCCTTGAACCGGCTGGTTGATACCAAGTCCTCCTGCTCAAAAGGCACCACCTTGCTTCATTATTTGGTTCAGATCTTGGAGTCTAGGTTCAGGGAGGTTTTGGATATTGAAGAGGATATGCCTCATGTGAAGACTGCTGCTCGGGTTAGCATGGCTGATCTTCAGAAGGAAGTTGCTAATCTTAAAAATGGATTGCAGGACGTTCAGAGGGAAATTGGTAGGTCTTTTAGCATTTATTATGCAAGTATTGCCAAGGAACTATTAGTTAGCCACGCCCCTAACAACTATTCCCTAGCAACTATCAGTTAGTCACGCCCCTAACAATTATTTTACTTCACAATTGTTGCTTATTAACGCCCCTAACAACTGATTTCTAGCAACCATTAGTTAGTAATGTCCCTAACAACTGTTTCCTAGCAACCATTAGTTAGTAACGCCCCTAAAGACTGTTTCCCAGCAATTATCAGTTAGTCACGCCCCTAATAACTGTTGCTTGGCAACTATTGCTCAATAACGCCCCTAAAAATTTTTTTACTTCACAATTGTTGCTTATTATTGCCCCTATGGACTGTTTCCTAACAACTATTAGTTAGTAACGCCCCTAACAACTGTTTCCTAGCAACTAGCGGTTAGTAACGCCCTTAAAATTGTTTCTCAGCTACTATTAATTGTATCTTAGCAACCAAAAATTGTTTCTTAGCAACTATTGTTTAATCACGCCCCTAACAACTGTTTCTTCTCAACTGTTGCTCAGTAACGCCTCTTAGAATTGTTGCCTAGCAACTATTGCTCAGTAACGCCCCTAAATACTATTGCTTGGCAACCTAAGCCCCGCCCCTAGCAACCAATATTTAGCAACAAAGCTTTACAACTCCCACATTGACTTTTTATTCCGAAAAAAAATTTCCACTACTATTATTTGTTCATTCAATGCTGAATTTTTTTAATTTCTTCCAGAGTTCCATCGAGCTCAAGCCCAAGTTCTCCAAGGTGACATGTTCCTGCCCGCTATGCGTGACTTCCAAGCACAAGCAACCTGCCGACTAGCAGAAGCCGAAGATCTGTTCCAGGACATGAAGACTAGGTTTGACAGAGCAGTCAGACTCTTTGGTGAAGACTCTGCTGGAGTTCAGCCCGATGAGTTCTTCGGAATCTTCGAAAACTTCCTCCAGGCCTTGACAGAGGCCAGGGCCGATGTCGAGAACATGAGAAGAAAAGTCGAAGAAGAGGAACGTCGCGCTAAACAAGAGCAAGAAGTAATAAGGCTGCTATTATGAATTTTTGTTTTTGTTAGTTTTTTAGGTAAAACGTAAATAACTGTTGGCCTCTTGTTTCAGCTGAAGAAACGAACGATGGAGAGAAAAAACTCACGAGAAGGCATTCTCAACAGCATCGCGCTCAACAAGAAGAACGAGAGCAACGGCCAGGGAGACAATAAAGGCGAGTTCGACGACTTAATCTCCGCGTTAAGGACTGGAGATGTTTTTGGGGAGGATATTGCTAAATTTAAGAGGTCCAAGCGCCGTCCTGTCACTCCAAGCAGCCAAGATTCTCGCAGACACAGTATCCACCGAGAAGACTCTCGCGAGCGGCATTAAGATAACTCTCTCTCTCCCTCTATACTCGCTGTCGATAACTTGTCGGCGTAAAACTCTGTAGAGTTCTTTTCTGTCTCTTGTGAATAGTTTACCCTCTTACTATCTCCAACAGTTGATAATCTTTATTGTTTTCGTTCCTCGATAATAACTTTGATTACTGAGGATTTAAAATTTTGTTTTTTTATTTTATAATTTATTTGTGTAGTTACATTATCGGGTTTTCCCGGTAATTTAACTACAAGACTGCAAACTAATGTATAGTGCCAAGATGTTTAACGAAACAAGGTTGATCCTTTCTATAGAGAAACATATCTAGAAATCTGTTTAAGAAATTCTAAATAACATTATTATTATTATTATTATTATTATTAATTATTAATATTTTTTCAGTTTAATTTGATTAATAGTATGTGGGAAATTTTTTAGATATGTCTAGTTATCCTTAAAAAAATTATATTTTAATATATTTAGCCAGATATGGTCTAATATGTTCAGATATAATTTTTAATAGGTCTTAATGCGGTCTGGTATTAATATTGGCTATATTGAGTATCTAAATACCGGCTATATTGTCTGTATTAAATACTAATGTCGGCTATATTGGCTATATTTGATGTAAATATCAGCTATATTGGCTATAGGAGCTATATTAAGTATCAATACCGGTAATATTGTTGGTATTAGATTCTAATATCAGCTATATTGGCTATATTTGATATAAATATCATCTATATTGGCTACAGGAGCTATATTAGGCATCAATACTGGCTATATTGTCTGTATTAGATTCTAATATAGGGCTATATTGGCTATATGAGCTATATTAGAGATAAATATTGGCTATATTGAATATAAATATGAGCTATATTGGCTATCAAAGCTATATGAGGTATTACTACCGGCTATATTGTCTGTATTAGATTCTAATGTTGGCTATATAAGCTATATTAGGTATCAATACCGGCTATATTGTCTTTATTAGAAACTAATATCGGCGCTATTAGCTATATAAGCTATATTTGATATAAATATGGGCTATATTGGCTATATAAGCTATGTTGGATATCAATACCGGCTATATTGTCTGTATTAGATGCTAATGTTGGCCATATAAGCTATATTGGGTATCAATATTGGCTATACTAGCTATATTTGATATAAATATGAGCTATATTAGGTTTTAAAACCGGCTATATTGTCTGTATTAGATTCTAATATCGGCTATATTATATCAATATTGGCTATACTAGCTATATTATGCACCAACATTGGCTATATTTGAGATGTTAGGTCACATATAGATAAACCAAGCTATATTTGGATATAGTAGACTTGATATGTCCTCAAATGACCATACAAAAATTTTTGACACGTTTATAGATCATTTTTAATATGTTTTGGTGTTAAAATTGGCTATATTAGGTCTAATATAGCTATATAAGTAAATATCTGGCTATATATAGCTTTTAATGTCCACATATGACCCTTAATACAGCCTGACATAAAAATTGGTCATATCAAAAATTTTTTTCACTAAATCCCAAAACGGACAAAACTAATGGTAAAATTAGATTCGAAAAAATGTTATTACTATTATTTAAAAATACTAAAATAAATCCCGTAGGAATGTTTGCGGTGCAATATAACTATAATAATATATCCACGGAGAAATTTAAAATCTTTATGCCTCAGTCGTAAATTAATAAAAACACATATATATTTTAAATAATAAAATTTTACCGGTACGGAGTTTTTATAAATTAGAATCTCATTAGAAAGTAACTTTTCTAAATCCAATTTCGATTAATAGCCTCTGAAGAATTAAAATTTTCAATTTTACAGCTGAGGTAATCTGTAATTGACATGTAAAAAAATTTATTTACTTTTTTTCTTTTTAAATTCCGACTTACAGTCTTAAGTCATAAATACTATATTATAATATTTCTATATATTTTACGTGAAATTGAGTCATTTACATTTAAGTGATGTCTGCTCGTAGGACCAACACATGTGTTACAACTTGTGATTTTAACGATTAAGTCAAGTACAGCTTGGGAACTTTAAGCGAGAAATTAAAAATTAAAATAACAAATTTATAGCAGAAGTAATTGCTATAATAATTACTCAAAAAAAAAAAAAAATTCTAATTCTAATTATTATAAAAAAGGCCTACGCAGTCCGCTGCCAATCAAGTCTGATTTTATAATTTTTTATGGAAAAATAGCTCACATAAGTATTATAGACTTAAAAATATTATTAATAATTATAATTAATAAATTCGGTTATAAATTATAAATTGAATAAACGCCCACAAGCTTTTGTACTTTTGTAAATATTTATCTGTAATTTAGATTACATTAAATTAGTACATAAATCATCGATAATTCTCCTATGTTGTGACTTATTACATTAATTAATTATTTTATATTTTATCACTATGTAATACATGATCAATAAATTCGGTATCACAAAGGAAAGGTCAAATAATTAAATGGTTTTTTTTTTGTTTTGTTTTTTTTGTTTTTTTTTTTTTTTTTTTTTTTTTTTAATTATTTAATATATATATATTTAATTTATATTTTGTTGGTTGGTTTTTTGTCTTTAATAATAACTTTTGTCAGAAACTTTATTTTACGTACACTAGCCGACTACTATTCATGCGACAGGACGATTACGAAATGTCCCGAGATTATTTGCAATAACATTTTCCAATAATTAGGTAAGTAGTTTAGTGCATTACATGTTACATATCGTCATTATTTCCAGGATTTTTGCCGTAATTTTTGAATAATAATTTATCATGTTTAATTTTTGATAAAAAAATTTTATAAATAAAAATTACTTATTTAAAATGTCTTATAATTTTTTTAAATTAATAATTAAGCCGCAATTTTAAAATTAAGATTTTTTATTATTAGAATAAATTTTAATTATAATTTTAAAATTACAGGAAAGATTTTAGGCATATAAAAAAATTATAAGCCATTTTTTTTAGAAAATTAAATTTTCTAAAATTTTTACTTAAAAAAATTTTTTTAAGACTAAATATTAACAGCAAAAATCTTGGAATTAATTATCATCTTCATACACTGAAAAAAAAAAATTTAAAAGCAAAAAAATTATTTTTTTAATAAATAAAATTTTTTTTTTCAATTAAAATAGTCAAATTGCTCAACCGAGGAGGCTTCCGTGACAATCTTACGTCACCTAACTCAAGCAGTCTTTTCTTCTTTGATTTTAATTAATAATGATTAATTTATATTTAAAATTTACATTTAATAATTATTAAGAGCTTACAATTACAAATTCATTATTGATTACCAACATATAAAAAATAAAAAAGAAACCTTCTTTTTATCTAATCAGGCCGCTTCTACAGAAACCCCCCCCCCTCCTTTTCGCAGACTACATGTCCATTATAATTATTAATTATTAATTATCAATTATTTATATATATATAATAATGTTTTTATTTATATTAATATTTACAGAGAACCCGGAGGTGAAACAGAAGTCCCGGGTTCAAATCATGCCTTAGGTTAGCTTAATTCAATATTGCACATTTGACAGCAGTTATCTTTGTTAGTACCTCTTTTAAGTACTCCATTATTATTATTATTATTATTATTATTGTTATTATTAAAATTATTATTATTACACACTCATGTTTTTTTTATTAATTAAGACTTGTTCTGTTAATTCTGTAGTAAATGCAAAGATAACCTTCGATGTACGTAGGTACCGACACTCGATAAAACAGTTAGTTCGTTGACTTTACAGGTTTATATATTTATATATTATAGTTTTTTGCTTTCGCTTATGGTAACGTAGGCCGCGGAGTAACACAATTTAGGCCTGGGTTCCTTCGTTGCCGACAAAATGGCCGAAATGAAATCGTTGATTAGGCGATTTATTAACAAAGTAACTAAATATTGTCGTGTTTAATTATTCTTCAAGGTTTTGATGGCTTAATTATTTATAAATTTTATTTATTTAAGTAATTTTTAGAATTTATGAGTTAATTTATTCTTAAGAAGAATATAGAGGGCTTTTAGCAGATTCAATTCTTTTTTTTTTTTTTTTTTGGTTAAAACATTTCTTCTCTATAAAATGATTTTTTACTAAAGAAAATAAATTAATTATGAATATTTTCTACTTTTTAAATTTAATTCTTCTCAAAATTAAATCATCAATAAAGAAAATCACTCAAAAAAACCTTCAATAATATAGAATAAATATTTTTTTCCTTAATTTATATATTTCTTTTTTAAAAAAAATTTTTTTAATGATAAAAATGAATAATCCTTTTTTTTTTTATGCTTATTAAATTCAATTTTACAAAAAAAAATTTAAGCATTAATAACAATTTTGTAGAAAAAACCTTTAATAATTTTGAATAAATTTCTTTTTTATAAGTTTAAACATTTCTTCTTTAAAAAATTTTTTTTAATGAAGAAAAAGGATAATTCTTGATTTTTTCCTTCTTTTTAATTATAATTTTTCTCAAAATTAAAATATTGACATTAAATCTTTGATAATTTTTAATAAAATTTTCTTTTTTTCTAATTAAAACATTTTTTCTTTAAAAAATTTTATTTTTAAAAGAAAATTAATAATTCTTTGTTTTTCTTTTCTTTTTAAATTAAATTTTACTAAAAATTAGAGCATTAATAACAATTTTATGAAAAAAACTATTAATAATTTTGAACAAATTTTTTTTTTTACTAAATTTGAACATTTCTTCTTTAAAAAAATTTTTTTTAATGAAGAAAATGAAGAATTTTTCATTTTTTCCTTCTTTTTAATTAAAATTTTCCTCAAAATTAAAATATTAATAAAAAATCTTAAACAATTTTCTTTTCTTCAAATAAAAATACTTTTTCTTTAAAAAATTTTATTTTTTAAAGAAAATTAATAATTCTTTGTTTTATTTTCTTTTAAATAAATTATAAACTCCTTATCAAATACCATCAAAACCTTGAGAATCTTTAGTAAGTATTAATAAGGATAACGATACTGATAATGGTAGCGATTTAACGAGAGTAATAAATGTAATAAATAATCCGATATAATCCCGAGGTTTAAATACGTATCTTTAGAGGTAACTCTCCGGATAAGTAGCTCGAGGAAATTAGTTTCCGGGCCGGGTCTGGTTTACCGGTGTTAAATCAGACTTGTGCAGATAGTAGATCATGGCCTGAGAAGGGAGAGAGTGGTGGTTGTATTCGAGGCCGGCAGTCGCTAATATTATCAACGGAAATGGAGCGAATGAGCCAGCCTCCAGTTCAGGTAATCCAAATAACCTGCCTAGCCGGAACGGGGTAATGGAAGGGACGCTGCTGATGGAGGACCGAAAATCCAATTCGATTGATCAATTGATTAATTGATGATTGAGAGTCTCTAATTAAACAGAGGCGTGGAGCGTGCTGGTCGGTGGAGGTCCTGTCGGATATGAGGTGCTTCCGGGAGTTGTTGAGGCACTGCTGCCCGCCGCTGGCTGCAGGCTCAGCTGGAGCTGGTGCTGCTGCGCCTTCGCTCTTAAGCACGCGATGCTTTCGTTCCTCAGCTGCTCCGTGTCCTGGACGACTCCTGGAGGACCAAAGGACACTATTTTTAATTTTATTCAATCAAAAAAATTTTATCAAGGAAATCCTTTCGCTCCAGTTGAGTCAAAACAATTGTAGTAGTCAATATACGATAAATTAAAATAAAAAATATTACAATGCGTGTTAGGTTTATACAAGAAGATTGTAAAATTACAATACATCTTAGTAGATTTCCTGACAGGGTGTTGGAAAATTACATGAATTGTATTTTATTTAGCATTGCTATACACTGATTTGTAATTTTACAAAAATTTTTAACAGTGTGTAAATAAATAAATTAGTTTGAATTTATTGAATGGTCTGAAGTTCGCGCGCTACGCAACGTTGCCAAATTTTTTGACTCCATTTTAACGTAGGTTGCTTGAGAATTTTTTGTGATTTTTAATTATTAATTTCTCAATAAATATCTCGGTAACTGATATATTTTATTGCAAACAAAGAAACCTGAATATTTCGAAAATCTAATTTTTAGTTTTTTTTTACTTCATCTAATCTATGACTGATAGTATAATTCGAGAAATACTGCAAACGTCTGACTTTCTCGTAAGACTCTGAACAAATACTAACATTTAAAAATTTTATTTTTTCAAAAATTTGTCCGGTAAAGTATAATTTAAACCTCACTATTAGATAAATAAAGACCTTAACTATTAGAAAAAAATTGAATTTACTCATAATCTAATATTTTTTATTTTACATTGGCGGCGAAAGGACCTCCTTAATATAAATAATTTATAATAAAAATATCTTTCAATTTTTTAAAAATACAATTAAATTATAAACAATTACTTTTGTTAAATTGCACTGTACTTTTTTAACAATTGAAGTTTTTAAAGATATAAAAAGATGTTACACTCATCAAGAGCTTTCATTTGAGTACCCACATGTATTTTTGATATATTTTTCATATATACATATATATATATACATATATAATATATATAAATATATAAAATATATGAAAAACTGATGTGGGTACTCAAGTGAAAGGTCTCGATGAGTATAACATCAGGATGAGCTTATATCTTTAAAAATGTCAATAGTTTACAAGATACAAGGTCATTTTTTAATTATGTTAAAATGTAATTGAATTAATTTTGCTTAAAAATTTTTTTTTAAAAAAAAAAAAAATATATTTACCAGAAGAAGGTCCTCCCATGCCGTCCTGGCTCTCCTGGCCGCTCTCAGAGCTGGTGGGTCCTCCCTGGTGGTGATTGTGGCTAGGACTGCTGCTGCTGCCAGCGTGGTCGTTTCCGCTGTCCTCGCCTCCAGACTTGAGGTGCTCCGCAGCCTCGATCGACTTCCGGTGCATCCCTACGGGGCCACAGTCAATCAGTTCTTGGTTAGTTTCGAAATCTTGACTAAAGCCGGTTGTCTTAGACGATTGTGCTGACAGAGACGGACAGAAAAAATACAGTTCGAGATTGTTCGTTTAAATACGACGTCCCGGGACGATTGTTTTTATTTTATTTATTTCTTCTGTTCGTTTTTTAACCCAGCCACCTCGTCTGACTCAAGAAAGTCATTGTCAATCGTTAATAATTATTAATATTGTTTTTTTTTTTTTTTATCAATAATTATTAATTATTTATTTATTATCGTGAAGCTTTAACTTACCGAGGAGCCAGGGAGCGACAGACTCGTTTTCTTTGGCGCTCTTGAGTATTGTCTCGGGAAGAGGCAATGAATGCCGCACCATTGCTCCGTACAGACCGTACTCCGCCATTATGGTACTTCTGCCCCAACATTTTTCCGTTTTGCGCCATTTTGCTCGTCGATTTTGAAACCAGACCTGCAACAAATTAATAAAAATATTTTTTTTTTATTTAATTATAGATTCTAAAATATTTTAATTAATTAGTCAAAATTTTCTTGATAATTAATTTTATTTAAAAAAAATTAGTCCGCTATTTATTATAGTATTAAGGTTAAAAAATTGTAATTTTAAAATTAAAGTGTCAAATTTAAGAAAAATTAGTTACTTTATTATGATTAATTTAAGTGTTTGAAATTAAATAATTTGGAGTTAAAGTGATTAATTAATTTTTTAAAAATTTATTAAATAATTCTGGATGATTAAAACCATAAATAAGAAAAAAATGATAAATAATCTATCTGTAAGGCATAATTATCAGAATAATAAATATCTAATAAGCCGGAGGTTGAAAAGTATGAAAGCAGACAGTGGGAAGAGTAGCAAGTGTCCCGCGTAATGATGTTGACGCGTGGCGCATCCCAGCAGGAAGCCGAAAATATCCATCTGATCTCCAGAAAAGGGCTGTGTGAGAAAAACTTGTATGCGGTTAATAACGACTCGTTACTTGGACAAATAAATTGGCTTACCGTGTCCATAAATTGGGGATGGGAGTTTATTCTGTCGCTGGTCTCTCTAATATATTATTAGTCATCTTTGTATCTTATATCATATATAATATAACATTTATTAAACTTTAACCAAAAATTCTTTTTAATTTTATCAACAAGAAAATTTTCTAAATACTTTTTTACATAAATAAAATTTATTTAACTCAAGAAAAATAAAATTTACTGTTAAAATAATTAATTTAAGAATTAATTATGAAGAAATAAAATTCCTGGGTCAAGAAAAATTTATAAAAAGAGAAATAAAAAATTTTTGGATAAAATAAAATTTAATTAAATTAATAAAAAAATATTTTTGCTTGATTTTTAATACAAAAAAAATTTTTAATGATTTATTAAGTCAAAAATTTGTCTCTTGAGATTTTTTGATGGTAAAATTTGAGCGTCGTCCTTAATCTAAAGCATAACTCCTGATTCAGAGTATTGAAACCTTATCGGGAAGATTTGACGACTAACGAGCACCCAATACTCTTGATAACGACCCTCCAGCCTGGTATCATCATAATCTAATTTGAAGAGACAGCGAGGAAGCACAAAGGCGATGTTAAATTAGCAAATATTTAAAATAAAGCTCATTCTCGGATTATTCTCTTAGAGTTAGAGTTAGAGTTTGGCTCCAATTGAGATTTGTCAGATGAGTCGGCTCTGATCGATGATACGCAAGTTACTGCGCATGCCACTCGATAACTCTGTAAGAGTACAGAGAGAGAGCCCCTCGATGCCAGTATATATCTGGATACGGAGTCGGAGGGGATGAATAAATAAATTTTCATGGTAATCGCTCGGAATAAAAAAGCGAAAACATTGAGCGGCTGTCAGACAACTTGGATTGCGTTTTTAATTTTTATCACCGACTGCCGAATAATTGTTTTTAATTACAATTACAAGGTGTCGCTTAAAGTAACGGGCTGTAATGGAAAAAGGACAGGGAGGTCCTCGATATAATAGAGAGGACAAAAAAGTAATCACAGGATCGGATCCTTTTGCGGAATCCAGGCGCAAGATAATTTCTGGCTGGCAGGACAAATTGACAGGACAACGCTTGTTTCCCATTCACTAAAATTACGTTTCAATTCTGCTGGTGACTTTAGCATTGTTGCTACAAATTGGTACACGCCCTGGCTCCAGGCTGCGAGCCTCCCTCCACTTAACTGCCACTCTTTGCACCCTTTAGATACAATGTACACCGTGGATATTTACCTATACATTTATATTTAAATACTATTACCGAATAGTCACGTACGCTATTAAATTATTTTCACTCGACGGTCTAATTTAATGGGAAGCTGCCTAATAAATCGCTGGATCTTTGTCGAGCTATCGGGCCTTTTTTTTTTTTTTTTTTTTTTTATTTTAGATATAATGAAACTATTTGCTGGACACGTGCTTGACTCTGCGGGTGACTGCTAACAAGAAAATTTACTAATTTTAACTCCAAGTTTTCAGATTGGATTATTTGGTCATGTTTTTTTTTTTATTATTAAACAATATTTAAAATTTTTTTTTTAAGTTTTAGAAATCAATACTTAAAGAAAAAAAATTTTTAATATAATTTTTTGGATACTTTATAATTAAAGGGAATTTATAATAAAATTATTGAGCTAGAAAATGAAAAAATGAAAAAATTTTTATTTTAAATTAGAATACTAAAAGTTAAAAAATTGGATTTTTTTCTTAATTTTTAATTATTTTTTGGAGAAAAAAAAATTATTACAGATTTTTTGGGATACTTTAAAATTATAATTAATTTATGTTGAAATTATTGAGCCAGAAAATTAAAAAAAAATTTTTTTTAAGTTTATTTAAAATTAAAATACTAAAAATTAAATTTTTTTCTTAATTTTTAGAATAAGTCCTTATTTTTTTTTTTTTTTGAGAAAAAAAAATAATAAAAATATTTTGGGATACTTTAAAATTAATAATTAATTTATATTAAAATTATGGAGCCAAATAATTTTTTTTTAAAGTTTATTTAAAATTAATATACTAAAAATTAAATTATTTAGCAAAATAAAATTAAGGTTGTTTGAGTATAAGCTTCTAGCAATTTTTCCAACCAAAAATGACCCTAAATTAATGTTGAACTACAATCCTAGAAGACGTGGTATATGTAGGATATTTATTAACCATGTCCTTAGATTAAAATACTTTAAATCGAATTACAAAAATTTATGATCCGACCGAAAATGAAATTGCCGTGGGCGTGGTCGAGCTGGACTAACAGTAATGCGGTTAGCGGAGATTTATATCTAACTACGTCAGCATCAACGACCGCTCTTCTGCTGGTATACTAATATAATACTAGTCCACAATCCACAACAGTGCTCAAGAGTTTATTAGAATTTACAATTGCGATTATCGCGTCAACGTCCAAATTGCGTCGTCACGCATCCACCCACACATACAATAGAGTTCAATGGACCAAGGAGCTTATTTATTTTTGTAAAATTTATACCGGTCAATTTTAGAACCACCAAAAAATTTATCACTTTGTAAAATAATTTTTCAATAAATAATTTAGAATAAAAAAAAAATTCTAATAATTTTTATTTTAATTTTCTTATTTGGAATTTTTTTAATTAATTTATTACTAATAAAATTATAAAAAAATTTATAATGTCTGTCAATTTATCAGTGTCTTAATATTCAATAATTTTTTTAAATATATTTAATATTTTTTTGAATAAATTTATTATTAAAAAATTCCTCAGAATTAAACTAAATTTTATAAACAATTAATTTTTTTTTTGAACAGTCTAGTCATCGCTTAAACATCCGAATCAAATTAAAATAGAATTATCTTATTAAAAGTACTCCTAGGGAGCATCATCAAGGGTGAATGATAATCTCATCTTGTCTCTATTTGTCTTTGTATATATATTTTTAACTCTGAAGAGAGCTCCCTTCGGCTCTGAAAGACAAAGCTCATGAATTTTCGTCGAAATGATCGAATGATTGTTGCACCAGTGAAATGTGTCTAGCAAGTGATATGCCTGGTATGAATTCGCCGGGGTCACGGTCTTTAGTTCACCCTCGGACTCATATCAGGGTGGCAAGTACCGACCCCCATTCCCCAGTACATTTATTATTTATATTAATAGGCACCCCATCACAGTGTCAGAGTGTCATGTCTTCTCGACTTGGCTCACTGCAGTCGCTCCAGTTTGCTGGCTCTTGTCTCTGTCTGCAGCTGCAAGGTCTATTAATTCAATAACCAGGACCAGAACCCAACAGATAGATAAATTATTTATTTATTAGTGTCTTCGGTTGGCTACTCATCAGTAAAGTATTTCGTTCGAGCTTTAATTTATTTTTTTAACAAAATTAATATTATTAATATTAAATATTTGATAAAAAAATTTTTTAATCATATTTAAGTAAAATAAAATTAAAAAACAAAGTATATTTATTAATTTTTGGACATTATTTTATTTTTTTTTTTTATTATCTGTAATTATAATAATTAATTAATTGATTTTTAAATAAAATAATTAATTACTAATAAAAATAAAATAAATTAATTTTGGACTTTAAGGTAATAATAATAATAATAATAATAATAAATAAAAAAAATAAAATGAGTGGATAAAAAATAAGAATTGAATTTTGAAAAGCAAACAAATTACTGGTCCTTTATTTGGGTAACGGTGCTGGTCCGTGCATTGTGTAAACAGAGCGTCAAAATTAGCTGTTGACTCTAAATAAATATTGTTGAGTCGGATAATAAATATATATTTATGTATACATTTAATTTAATGGCTGTAGGAGGGCAATGTGGATGAAGTTGAGTAAAAGAATGAAGCGAAGAGGAGAGGATGAGTGAAAGAAAGAGGCGGATCCGCTTCAGACGATTCGATCACTAAGATCCCAGAAGTGAATAAAGTGAATGCGTATCGCTCGTTAATTTTAATGATGATCGTATTTTCATCGGACAATAATTCGAGTGGCAAATTATCCATCATGTCTCTATTATACGGGCTGAATAGAGTAATCGAGATGTGAGATGTGAAATGTCGAACAAATTACGAAAAAACTACCATGTTTCATTCATATTTCGAGTGATAATTATCTGATAATGATAACTAACAGCACTAGCAGATATTTTTTAATGTAAATTCATTTTAAGGTCAACAATTTTTAGATTCTTAGAAATATTTTTATACTTTTTAAGAAAATCCTTAAATAGATTTTGACCACATCTTTACGAGTTATTGAATCGATTTATTATTTATTCATTGAAATGATGTCAACATTTGAAGCCTTTTGGAAAAATTTTAGATAAAAGGGCTGCCAGTGACAAAGAAAACTCTTCAATAGACTTGGACATCTTTATACCTTTCAAAGAATTTTATATTAACTTTTCCGAAGAACTGAAATAAGCTAAAGTTCAAGGGAAAAAATTTGAGGCAAAAAATAGATATATTTATGTCATAAGGCCGTGAAGTGGCGGTTTTCTGACAGCGACGATATTT